TTCTTTGAAAAGGTCCATATCGCAATATTACTTCTGGTGTCCCACAAGGATCAATTCTGTCCAGTGCTTTTCATTATTTATATAAATGACCTTCCTGTAAATATTATTAGGACTTAGTACTTGCCAAAATAATACAAGTTTTTTATATAAACATAGGATCGCATTTTTTTTGTTTTGGAGCTATGAGCCGTTAAAGTTGAGCCAAAAATTTACATTTTATTTTTTATTTCGGCTATAAGTAAACCGTAGAATTTGAAGTTTTGTATGTATTTACTATTGGATAAGACCTTATCTTCAAGTATACCTTAAGTTTCCTTTAAATTTTTTATAATACCTTTTTAACACCATGGAGTGTTAACATGAAAAAATATGAGTTGTAAAGCTCATTCTTTAGTGGTACTTTTTAGTCTCTTTAGTTTCTTCCTTAAAGATAAGTTCATATTCAGTTAAAGTTAATATTTAAAAGACACGAAGCAGATCAAATGGAATCTAACAACACTAACACAGCAGAGGCATAAATTTTAAATAATCTACAAAGAACTAAGGAATCCAAGCTGTGTTGAACGTATTCTTCAACTCACCCATCCTACAATTTTAGAGTGATGAGAAAGTTTACAGAAGGAAGGAGGACTTAACGACTTTTCTTCTTTGCTTTTAGCTGTTTTTTATTCGTTTCTTCTTCATGTAATTCGCTTTGCAACGGTTCCTCATTGTTTGAAGATCTCCTTTCCGCGGTTGCTGTTCTTCACATACTGCCAGGTCACAGAACAGTAGTAATAGTGTCAGGTCTTCACCTCTTCTTTACTGATGGTGTAGCGGGGCTAGTCACGTAGCGTCTCTGTAAAGCGCAATAACCTTCAAAGCATCCTTCAGTTCCAGTATACCCATTTTAATGTTCATGAAGATACCTTTCTGCCATGCGATGACACTAATTTTTCAAGATAGCTTCTTTTCTGGGACATTTATTGCAGGTGTTTAAAAAGTGACATATCCTAGATAGGTTCTTAAGCATCTATGAGTTGGAGGTTGCCCCCCAGCTCCCTATCGGTGAATGTTGGCTACTGAGTGTCTGTTGAATCTCCATTTTCGTGCTTTACGCGAACTTTTCATTGTTTGCTCTTCTTCACAATTAACATACTTTCTAAATTCTGTCCCGGAAATGCGAAATATGCTGGAAAAGTAGATGCATTCCAGATCCACTTTCAAGGTAATCTCTACCGAAGGACAATCACTAGGGAAAGTAGATGTTGAGGAAGTTGACGAAGGAATTATAATAAAGTGACATTTATTTATGAATTTGATTGATTTCTGTATACACTATAAACATCCACGTTATAATCGGATTGGATTAATAATAAAGTGTAAGTATGAATTGCTCCACTTAACTAAGAAATAATTTAATTAACTTGTAATTAAAAAACATAAAATGAATAATTTACCGTCGTTATCATTCTAAAGTCTAAATTAAATAATGATAAAGCTGATATTTCCGGTTTGAAATGATCCATTGCTAAAGTAAATCCATTTAACTAGAAACAAAATGTTAATAAATGAAATTAGAAAATTAAATACAAAAGAATCTTACCTCCTCTTTCATTCGAACATCTTTTACATTTAACATTAAATTAAAAACAACACTTTTTGTTACATTTAGCTAAAACAAAAATGTTATTATTTCGTTAATTTTTTAATTATTTTACCTTTGTTCTACAATATTCATAAGCAGACAAACAAAAAATTACCCCCAATCCAGATAAAAATATGATAAAAATTTGTATGATAATAAGTGGATTTAAATTATGTTTCATAACAGGAAGAATACTGCTATAAATCTCCAAAACGAATAAAGTAAAATTTGTTGTAAAATTAATAACAATTAAACTAGAAATTGAATCGTTAAAATTGATAAGATTTTTATAAGTTTCTATGTAAGAATTTAAAGTTTTCTTTAAATTAATATAATTATTATTGCGAAGAAACGTTTTTAAATACTCATTAATACCGTTTATACATGCCCCATATAATCCAATACAAGACGATACCTGTACAATCTCAACAGTTGGAATAACATAAAAAATGTTGTTAACAATCGCAACATGAATCGAGAGAAATAAATTTTTGTATTCACCATAATGCCATATTGAAATAAACGAAAAATCCACAAAAGCGAATAATTTTATAATAATTACGTAGAACAAAAAATATTTTTTGATATTATTAAAATCCACTACAATCCCAATTCTTTCTAAATTTTTTCGATTTCTATCTAATTCATTCAATAAGCGTACTCGTTTATTTTTAAGGACAGAATTGGTTATTACGATGTAAATTGTTTGGATTATCGTTGTTAAACTGTAAACTGTCATTACTATGTAAGCAAAAACCGAAACGGTTTTCATAAAGTTGATGAATAGCAAGAAATGATAACAGGCCGAAACGAAAATTATTCCTTGTAAAGGAATAAACCATATATTATAAGAAGTCGATGATGTTTTAAACTTTTTCGTGTTGTCCATGTAATAAGGTGCGATACCAAGTAATCTTGAAACATAATAAATCGGCGATAATGCTGAAAATGTAGCGTTTTTTACATTTTTTTCTGTTTCTTTTGTAGTCATTCTAACAACTTGAAACGTCAACTAAATTCGATTGTTGTTAGTGGAGAATAATAAGTGAAGGGTAAATCGAAAGTGTTTTAAATATTTATGGATTTCATTAACATAAAAGGGAAATAAAATATTGTCCAAATAAATTAATACTGGGTAAACAATCTTTAATCAAATGAATTGGATCATTGTATTGGATATTATATTACTACTTTTGTAACTTCACCAAATATAATGGTTTCATGTCTCGAAATTCACGATCATGGTTATATGTGGCATATAATATGTAGAAGTGAAGGTTGATCTTAAAATCTTTTCGAGGACGAAGAGCCAGTGGTTATCATAGTACAATATCATAGGATAATACCGCGATTCATATTCGCTGCAAACTCAAGATCTTGGAAAGAATTTGTATTTTAACACTGAGAACAGTGCAAGGGGTCACTCTATATAATCATGTAAGGAGCAATAATGATAGATGAATCCGGAGTTTAGGATGTTGTGACGTAGATGAGATCCAGGAGACGGAAATGGAGACTATGTCAATTGGATGTCTCCGGAAAGATTGCCCAAGTGGACCATATTAGAAAAAATCAGACAATTAACGATCACATAAGGTTTAAAAGTAGAAAAAAAAATGATATCGTTCTATTAGAAGAGGAAGCAAAATAAAACTTGCCTGTTATTTTATACTTCACTTATTCCTGAGTTTTATTTCTGTCCACGTTTCCACGGCTTCCATTGCTTCTTCCTCAACAGTTCTCTTCCATGTCTATCTTGAGCGCCCTCATCTGCTCCATGAGGTTTGTTTAAAATGTGGCCAATCCAAAACGATTTTCTTTCCTTGATTTGGTCACTAATGAGTCATTGATTAATGAATAGTTGTAATTTGTTTAACATCCTCTCGGTGACCTTCCATGTTCTACACTCATACAGAACGACTGACCGATTGCTGTTGAACAAGCGAATTTTTGTTCTTTTTGAAATGTTCTTATTTCGCCTTCATATTTCCCATGTACAGAATCTCGACTACAGAATTGATCCTCACCTCCTTCATTTTTTGAACTTTGACTTTTAGTCCTGCTGCTTCTGCTTCATCTTGTATGTATGTAATCAACGAAGAAAACTACCTGGCAACCTTCAGAGTGACCCAAATAAACTTACCGAGAAGGAGAGTAGCAAACGACCTAATCATGCTATGGCATTAGATTATGATGCAATGTCGGGAGTTAAATAAATGTTCCTTTTGACAGTGTCAACATCTGTTAAATCTTCTTAATAAAATCATCTGATCTTGAAATGTGGATATAATGAGAGATTTTGGAGTGCAGCACGTAGTCAGATGGATATTGCCAATGGGCAAAAACACAAAGATGTACAGTTGGAAGACCACTCAAAGGCTGACAGAAAAGATGGACATCCTTATCATACGAGGAACGAGACAGAACAAACAGGACTAGGTTCTATAGCAAGAAAAAGAAGAAGTAACTACAAAGATTACCAAACACTTAAGGCTAGTAAAGAAACTGGATACAGCAGCCAAAAGCATTCGCCAAATCAAATTCCCTTATAAGGTGATGACAAGTTATTTGTTGATACGACATTCATTATAGAGCCTTGCTTTTCCGAGATCAGCCGAGGTCGCTTTTTATCGAAGCGCTGCAATGTGTAAATTATTTATCGGTTCATATGATATTAATTATAGCTTAAGTATAACACGACCTAATTAAGTAAAATCATATAACCTCTGCTCTGTGACTAGCAATAACGTTGATTTATAATATATGCCGCAATTTTTAGTTGCAAAAATGAAGTTGAAGTCGTATTAGAAATGGTCCCAAAGTTTGATGATAAGAAAATTTTGTTACACAGATTTTTGGCATGTTGTGGTATAGTATCTGCTACTTTCGATCGTAAACCATGCTTCGCAATTAAATATAATAAAAACAAAATTGAAGGATTCCGCATACAATATCTTAAAATACAGAATCTTTTCAAGATTAGGGTAATCTAAAGATAGCTTTCCAAGAACAATACCTTGAAAAAAAAATTATAACTCAATTGGAATCAGAATTGGGAGGACGCGCGCGTGGGTAGAAAATACCCGGCGCTTATTAAATGATGTGTATATTCTCCAAATGTCGATTAAATCGGGGAATCCCCTGTATACCTCTCGAGTAGAGTGTAACAGAAGTACCTATGCTCAGGCGATATTATTATACCGTTCTCGATCAGTGCTAGGGTTTGATTTATGCGAAGTGGACATTTTTTACCCTGCGCGCGTCGATACGTGACTAAATTGTTACCATTTTATTTCTGTGTTTTATGTCTTTTATTAGTTTTTGGTGAATTGTGGTTATTATTGAACAGTTGTCGCATTATTTCATTTTTATCAGTTCGAGTTCCAGTAAGTTAAAATTATAACAAATGAAGTAACTATAGTTTATTGGCATATCAGTATTGCAGTAGATAATGGATTCTCAGCCAGGGCCATCAAATATCAGTAAATGGGTGGATAGAAGGCCTTTAACTAAAAAAGATCTAGAAGAGGAAATAAGGAAAATAATGGAGGAGGAGAGTGATGACAATGAAATTCCACCAACTGAATCAGATAGTGAAGTTGACCACATTTCAGTAAGCGACCATCTTACCGACACTGACGCAGACGAACCATCAGAAGATGAAGGCAATTTTTACGAATCAAGCTTGGCAGGTACTCCATCTTCTCACTTTTATCTGGGGAAAGATGGTACACGTTGGTCCAAACAACATCCACCAATAAATGTAAGGACTAGAGCCCATAATTTAGTGACCCATCTACCGGGACCGAAAGGAAAAGCAAAGGATGCAACTACTCCTTTTGAAGGTTGGAATTGTATGATTTCTGATAATATGATAAACCATATTGTCAGATATACCAACATATACATAGATTTGTCGCGAGGAAAATTTGTTAGGGAGAGAGATGCCGCTCCTACAGACCAACGAGAGATGAAAGCACTTTTCGGTTTGCTGTACTACGCTGGGGTACTGAAGTCTGGGAGACTCAATACAATGGAATTGTGGGAAAAAGATGGATCTGGTGTGGACATATTTCCAGCCGTCATGTCTCGAAAACGCTTTTTATTTTTACTCACTTCTTTACGTTTTGATGACATACGTGATAGGCACACCAGACGACAAAGTGACAAACTGGCTCCCATACGTGAACTCTCAGAATTATTTAAAAACAACATTCAAAGCTCCTATGTTATTAGTGAGTATGCCACAATAGACGAAAAATTGGAACCTTTTAGGGGAAGATGCTCGTTTAGGCAGTACATAAAGAGTAAGCCAGCAAGATATGGCATAAAAATTTTTCTTTTGACTGACAGTCGTACATACTATACGAACAACTTTGAAATATATGCTGGTAAGCAACCGGAAGGTGAGTACAAGTTACAAAATGATCCTTATTCAGTCGTATGCCGTCTCATCAAACCAATTGAAAAAACTGGCCGAAACATAACAATGGACAATTGGTTTATGAGTATAAAGCTAATGAATGATCTTTTGAAAAATCATCGCTTGACCTGTGTTGGAACTATCCGAAAAAATAAAAGGGAAGTACCAACTGCATTTGTCACTCCAAAAAATCGGTCTGAATATTCTAGTTTATTTGCGTTCTCGGAAAATAAAACAGTAGTTTCATATTGCCCTAAGAAAGGTAAAGTAGTTTTGGTGGGTTCAACTATGCATCACGATGACTGTATCAACAGTGAATCTGAAAAGCAAAAACCTGAAATAATAGAGTTCTACAATTTGACTAAGGGTGGAGTCGATACTGTCGATTATAATCCACATAATTATGTGGATTATATTCTGTATCCAGGAGGTCGCAAAGGTGGCCACTAACTATATTTTTTGGTTTTCTGAATATTGCGGCGATAAATGCTTACATTGTTTATAAAAGCAACAAGCAGGAACAAATTGCCCGAAGAGTATTCTTGAAAAACTTGGCAAAAGAACTAGTAAGAGAACATTTACGGTATAGGTCCACTATTGTCTCGCTACCCAGTGACATAAAAACAAGGATAATGCTTTTAATTCCACAAAATGAACAGGAAGAATTTCTTCCAGCGAAGCGCCAGAAAGTATTGTCGGGAAGGTGTCAAGTTTGCTCAGGCCGCAAAGACAGAAAAACTAAAACATGCTGTAGTGCGTGTAATAAACTCATATGCCGAGAACATTCTATACCAATTTGCCAAGGCTGTTTCGCAAATAAGGTTGTCCCCGTTCTGAAAGAAGATGAAGAACTGGAAGAAGAGGATGTCTAGGTCATTTTATCATTTTTTTATTATTTTTTTTTGTTCAGTCTCATCATGTGTTGATTTGGTTTTATTGAGTACAATTTTATGTTCATTTATTTTAAATATGTCACAAATAGAGTTTATAAGTTCAGTTACACAATCCATTGTTTTATTTCCCGAAAGAAGACTCAAATATCTATACTTATACCCAAAATATTTATAAAAATCAAATATCGGGTAAAAAATACCCGACGCGCGTTTTAACGTGAGAGCCAGAGGCGCGCGTCCTCCCGGGTAAAGCAAATCAACTTCCTAGCAAAGTACCTGGTATAAAACTATGTAAATTGCGTACAAATTAATGGCCAATCCCAATGATACGTGGTGTCATTGAGACGTCAATTGCTGAGCAAAACCGAATTACTCTTGAAGCTATTTTCGATATGATGAGAAAAATTCGATCGGAGATGCGTACTACGATACCTTGGTGAACTCGGTCTAATTTGCCTGACTTCGAGGCATACAGAAACGAAGTATAGGAGTAGCTGAAGATAATTGATGAGTTGAATGCCGAAGACGTTCTTCTGACTTTGGAACAGTACCCTCGCCGTAGCAATCTTGAGATTCGAGGAGTTCCTGAGAAGGACTATGACAACGTTATTTTTTGCAAATCAACCATTTTATTGTGTAACTTTTCATTGTAACGTCGTAATTGTAATTTATTTTATTTTAACGTGTTAATTTTATAATCTTTTACTTTTAAACTTAAGATTTATATATGTTTTATATATTGATTTAAGTATGTTTGGACCAGAAATTACCTATTACATATATTACTGGAATTGAGAAGTTTCAAAAGAAATCAAATATCAAACAAGAGGAGGTTGCTTAATTTGGACTCTTAAATTAATTAATTAATCCTGAAAACAAAGAGAACATAGGATTGAAGGAGAGGCTAGTTAGGAAGTTACAAAGAAATGATTTGAATAAGGACCAATATTTTATTTTGAATTCGAGTTTTAACTACATTTAAAAGTCAGTGAAAAGTGTTTGTTTTCTAACTGAGTTTTCATTGTTGCATAAGTGTAATCACCTTTCATAATCTAAAAAAATACCAGCTCAAAGGCAGTAACACAAGCAGCTCCGGAAAGGGCTCCGATCTCCAATAAGTAAATAATAAGATACCAAGTAATCCCTATATGTAAATAGTAAAGAAATCCTTCTTCGACCGAATACAAATAATATTTTACTTGCACCGGATATCCGGTATAATATAAGCCAATTTTAAAAATACGGTTTTAATAATAAGCACCCAGCAACCCAAAAATATATATTAACATATTAAAATGTTTAAAATGTCGACGATACCCATGTGTTTCTTAGCGATCGGTGGTTCCCCGAATTTCGTAAAATCCTGGAGTTCTTCGAATATATTTAAGACTCGTTTTTGGATCAAATGCGTTATTATATAATTGTAACAAATGTTTGTACTGCAAATTGCGGCAAAAACTGCTTCTGATATCGCGATAGACGACGATTCCTTCATCTGAAAAATAAAAAAAGTTAAATAATAGATATTTATATTACAAGTGGGCTAGAAACATAATTACAGTACGAGTGTGGAGAATTGCACGACGAGGTCGTAGATCGAGTCGTGTAATCACACGAGTACTATAATACATAAACTCTATTTAATAGAGTTTATGTTTTCTTAACGTATCTAAAAATTTTAAATATTTAACATATACAATATCATATCGTCTGTGAAATTCTAATGCCTTGTAACCCACAAAAAATCCAAAATTGTGCTATTATATTTTTATGAAATCTACAGAATTATACATAGTACTAGTAACACCTAGTAATCCACAAATACGCATTTACTTAGATAAAAGGGATTTCTTTCATCACGTATCCCAAATGCACCTCAACAAGAAAACAATAATACCTCGTACACCACAATGAAAATTTGAATACCTCTTAAGCAACATTTGGTATAAGTCAAACTGTGGTATACAAGGTATTTATTTAAAAAATAATCGATTTGTAATACTGTAAATAGTATTTTTTTAAAAATACATTGTTTTTTATGTTTTTTTTTAATTGAATCAATAAAAAATGAATAAATATTGTTTACAGAAACAATTTTGGTAATTTGATTTAAAAATAATTAAAAAGTAGGCATTGTTAAAATAAAGTAATGTTGTAGTAGGCTGTGTCCGCTATAACTAATGTTATTGTTTTATTAAAATAATTGATATTGGTGTGGATTTCTGTGTCAAAAGTGTGTTTAAACTAGTACTTGATATCTATAAATTTACTGAGTGATGGAAATAGTTACGGTAAGTATATTAAATTATTATGTATAATAACGAAGTCTATTATATTTAACAAAAAATATTTGCACTTATTTATTTTGCATTACTATGCTAACATTGTTTGCGTTTTAATTAATTTGAATGTAATTACGAATTTGAAGCTAGAGGAGCTGAAGGATATAAGCCATCTGCAACCTGTTGAAAATATTATAATTGAGGATTTAAGAGATGTTCAAATGTTGGAGCTAGATGCACGAAAAGACGAAGAATGTGTTAACAATGATTTTAATGACGATGACTACGAACCTAAAAAGGAAAATGGTACATCAGATAGCGACGAAGAGCAAGGAAATAATGCTGAAAAAGATGAAAAAACAAAACAGGATGAGACATTAACAGAAAATGATATCAATCATGGCAATATAACGGAAGGAAGGAAAAGAAGTATTACTGCTCAACCTGATAAATGGGCAAAAAATTCTGCAAAAAGGAGCCGAATGGAAGGAAAAGCGTACATGGGGTACAGCAGAACTAAAGAAGGTAAAGTAAAACAGAATGTCCCAAAAGAAGCAAGAAAAATGGGTTCTTCTTGCAAATCAAAAGAGTGCCTTAGAGTAAAATCCAGGAATTGTTCAGAAATTAATGACGTTCAGCGCAATGCCATATTTACTAAATTCTGGAGTGAAATGAATTGGGATCAACGAAAAGTGTTTGTAATCAATCACATAGAAAAAACTGTCACAAAAAGAACGTATACTAAAAGCTTTGAGAGTAGGCGAAAATATTCCTTAAAATATTTTCTCACAATAAATATGAACAAAGTGCAAGTTTGTAAACAAATGTTTCTTCAAACACTTGCTATAGGTGAATATTCCGTTCATGATTGGGTCCAAAAGGGATGTTACGGTATGACTTCTAGCTTCGATTTGACCTACAAATCAAACAAACGAACCACTCGACAGGACAAGGTGGAAGATAAGAGGTTACTAAAAGAATTTTTTGATTGTTTACCAAAGTTGCCTTCACATTATGGACGTTCAAATTCAAGTAAATTGTATTTAGAAACGGTAATCCGGAGCCTAAATCAATTATTTAAGTTATACGAAATTAAGTGCAAAGAAGAAAACAAAGTAACCCTGTCGAGAACAATTTTTAGCAAAATGTTTTATTCTATGAACTTGTCAATTCACCCCATTAAAAAGGATAAATGTGATTTGTGCACAAAACATGAAGTTGGTCAATTATCAGACAAAGAATGGAATACGCACAGACGTAAAAAAGAAAGGGCTCGTGAAGAAAAAAAGAGAGATAAGGAAGAAGCAAAAATGAACAAAAAAGGTCGGGTTTTAACAATGGATTTACAAGCTGTAAAAGTGTGTCCGTATGTCCAAGCCAGCACAATATTTTTTAAGTTAAAACTGTGTTGCCACAATTTTACAGTTTATAATGTAGTAACGCATGAGGCAAAGTGTTTTTGGTTTAGTGAAACTGAAGCAGATATGACTGCATCGACTTTTGCTTCTTGCATTATGGAATACCTAACAACAGACTGTCAGAATGAATCTGGACCAATTATAATTTACAGTGATGGATGTACTTACCAAAATAGAAATAATATTATAGCAAATGCATTATTAAACTATTCTGTAAATAATAACATAGAAATTATTCAAAAATTTCTCGAAGTTGGACACACACAAATGGAATGCGACTCAGTTCACAGCTGCATCGAAAGGAAATTAAAAGGACGAGACATTCATTTACCTAGTGATTATCTACGAATAACAAAGGAAGCAAGAATGAAGCCCTTTCCATATGAAGTTAAATGTATGCAATATTTTAATTTTAAAGATTACTCAATCAAGAAATATCAAAGATATGCATCTATTAGACCTGGAAAGGTAAAAATTAGTAATACTATGAAACATTCTTTATAACTGCCTGTCATTTTCCCTTTAAGGTCACAAATGATCCTGTGGTCACCGATATTAGAGCTCTCCAATATTTGCCGAATGGAAACATTTATTACAAATTGGATTTTGATGATGAATGGCGAGAACTTCCACAACGACAAAAACCTGTTTCTCAAATGGTAGAATGGCCACAAATGTATAAAGAGAAACGAAAAATAAAATTTCAAAAATGGCAACATTTGCAGCTGTTAAAGTCAGTAATACCTACTGACTGTCATAGTTTTTATGACAGCTTAAAACATGATTCAGAGTAAAATTTTTTAGAGAATTTATTGATTCGTAATAAAAGTAGTTTTTCCTAAATAGTGTTTTATTTCTGTAAAAATAATATAATATATCCTAACCCACAAATTTGACAAAAATCTAAAGCTAATCACTCGTAAGCCACTGCAAATTTTAATATACAATATTTACTAAAAAATTAAAAATCATATGTTTGTATCTAAGCCCTTGTGTAACTGACAGTTTCAAAACAAACAAACAAATACTTTCCCAGTTTAATATAAAACGTCTTTTATGTCTACTGAAAAAAAATGTTTTTAGGGTTACATTATATTAGAACTTCACAGACGATATATCATTCAAAATTAGATAGTTTTAGTTTCAATTTGGTGTATAAATTATTACGTAATTTTAATAAATACAGTTTAAACGATTTTTTGAATTTTATCAATTTTTATATGAAAATAAGTTAAATAGAGTTTGCGTATTCTTAACATATCTCAAAATTTTAGATATCCATCATATAGATTACTATATACCATCTTAAAATAGATAGTATTGGCTTTAATTTGGTGTGCAAATCATTACTTAGTTTTAATAAAAACAGTCTGGACAATTTTTTGAATTGCATTAATTCTTTTATGAAATTTTTGTAGAAATTTACGTTTTCTTAACATATCTAAAAATTTTAGATATCCAACATATACAATCTCATATATCATTCAAAATTAGATAATTTTAGCTTTAATTTGGTGTATAAATCGTTATGTAATTTTAATAAATACAGTTAAACGATTTCATGATATGCATTTTATGTTCTTTTATGAGATATTTTTAGTAAGACAGTTTGGTTTAAAACAAATGAGCTAAAGGGCGTTATCTGCATCTATTACATATTTTTGTGATTTTTGAAATAAGTGAAATGGAATGGTACTTTTTACTTGACAGATCCTTAGTCGTATCTCGATATCTTCATCCACTCTTGAATTATAGAAGAAAATGTTGAAAACACGAGTCATATCAAACATATCTTTTAATCTAAAATCTTATTCAAATGTTAATCGATGGCACCAAGGAGATAATCTCCAAAATTCATTTAGATACCAGTTAGAAATGAGTATTAACGAAGAAGGACATCAATTTGAAAATATTAAATTAAAAAACTATGTTCATTTTAAAATAAATAAATATTAAGCCTCACTACTCACCTGGTCGGTTGATTTATGAGGGTAGTAGTCTCGGTCCACGGTACAATAAATTTTTTGTAAACAATGAATAAATAGCATTTTTTTTGTGTGAATTTACTTTATATAAAACCATAAGTTTCGTCATTTTTAACATTTTTGCAAATTATTCGCAAAGTGTGCAATAAAAAATTTATTTAACAATTATATGTATCTAGATTAAATAATTTATTTTGAAATCAATTTCAAACGTTTCTTTGTTTCTTAACTTTAAAAATCCAATTAAAGAAATATACTTCAAAACTTAAAGCATATTTCAAATGTTTCTTTGCTTAGTAACTTGTAATACCCAATTAAAGAATACATAAGATTTCTTGTATTCCTTAAAAATAAGTTAAAATCACTATTTTTTAATGATATAACATACTCATACATACATTCATTGCCGCTGCATGTGATAAATCCCCAAACAACGGTAGCTCTGTTTTCAGCTCCTTTTGACTTAAGCAAAGCAAAATCAAAACATCTTTTCGTGTTGATACATCAGCATCGAACCAATTCATGTTATAAACAGCATCAGCCACACTTCCTGCCTATTATTAATAAAATAAAACTAATTTAACAAACATAAATAATCTAACCTAAAAGTAAATTAAACGAATTATTCATACCGCAGCAGTAAATCGTTGTCCAAATGTGTGATAAAGAAATAACCCAAACAAGTTCAATATGATAACGGAAAGAGAGGTTAGATCGTTTTTCTAAAATATTGATTGGTCAAAATAAAATACAGTAATATATTAAATAAAAATTTAAACCAGAGTAAAGTGAGTAGTAGCCATAGTTAAAGAAATAATACCATATATCTTTGTTGAAACAAGAAATCTAGTTGTGAAATCACTAATGAATTGAAACATCCTAAAATCATCAATATCTTAAGCATTTCAAAATACGTATTAAATTAGATTACCTGAATATCTCTTGATGATATACAACAACAGGCTGTAATTTTTTAAAATTTCGTTTTTTATTCCTTGTTAAAGTTATATTGCCAATCACCTCCTTAAGGATTTCAATACGAACAATTAATAATTCCAACGAATAGTACATAACTATTAGTGTACCGGTCGTAACATATACTGTGATTGTCATGGAATATAATTGTAACAACAGTATCAACATTATATACCAACGTTTCGACAGAGGAACGTAATAATCAGCTAGAAAGCAATATTTGGAATTCTTAAACTGAGCACACTTATCGTCAAGCAAAATAGAGTATGTGTTAAAATATGCATATAAAAGTGCTATGTGACGACCTATTTTTAATATAGTTTTTATATTTTTGTCGAGAACTTCAATTCTTTTTGGAACGCCAGATTTCCCGAAGTCGCTAAATTGATTACGCATTTTAACTAAACGATGTCGATTCCAAATCAGTTGAATGTTAGTAAATACAACAATTAATGCACCTAAAGCAAATTCCGTTTGAAATAATAATTTTGCAAAATACATTTTGTAATCTAAAATCAATAAAAAGATAAAGAAGAAAATATGATTTCTCTTTAGAAATGTTAAATAACATTTCTAAATTCCATTAACCCACCTTTAAATCCCATTAAAAAGTTATAAGCTGCCAAAATAAAATTTATCACCATCACAATTGTTGGTGTTAATCCCCGAAATCCGTTAGAAGTGGGCCAACAGCGATATTCTCGCATAAATTTTTCTATATAATAGTAACCGAGGAGTGGTTTCGACATTTTATTACTTTACGATTGAAGGAGTTCGATAAAACTAAATTGAAAACCAGGTAAGTTATGTACATGTATGGCGTATTAAAAATTTAAACATAACAATTGATTTACGATTAGTTACTTTTTATTTGAGTAAAACTGTAAACATGTACTGTTATTGATTATTATTAGAAATGAGAAAAATTGAAAAATCGTTATCCTTTTGCAGTATAACAGACTTTTTAACAAACTATTATACCACATCATGGCGCACAGTGATCAATTGCTCAAATTTAGGAGGACAAAATACAAAAATTGGTCATTTTTTTGTAGTATAATCATGCGGTATTTGACTTACTGTATGACTGGCATATAATATAGGAATTTTTTTTCTGATTAGAATGGTTTTTTTGCTACTATCTGGATGTTTAATTAAGAATTTTTCGGGTCTTTAATTTTGTTAAGATTGTTGTATTGTTGATTATATTGTACGGTTGTATGCAATGTGTATTGAATATACATATACTGAGTTTATATATTGATAGTCCATACCTTTAACTGTATTTATAATACAGTTAGTATATATAACTACGTTTATTTAGTTCACTTTAGTTCTTAAATTTAAAAAATTAACATCACATATTCACATTTCTATTTGATTTTTCTTGCACGGTTCATAATGAATCATTACAATTCTTTTTTTATTTTGTAACCTGAAGGATTAGCTATAAGATGGTATATAAGACTTTACTTACTTTCACTGACTTTAGAAAATATTGGGGAATGTGACAAAAATGATGTAGCATAGTGGCGTAAATTCAGGATTAAACCTCAATATTTTCACGCTTCGAAAGAAAAGCAGAAATGATATGATTATGGCACCTTCATATTTTAAGTAAAGTGGATTCATATCCCCATTGTCAAACCTTAACGAAATGAAATAAAGAGTGTCACAAACGCGGATACAAACTTTAAATAAAAATTTCAATAGAATTTATGCGCGATATTAAATTTCCGCCCCCTAATTTATATTTTTTTAAAATATAATTAAATTTGTATAGTAAAAAGGCTATTTCATTTATCGTAATAAACGGTTGGCAAGTCGGTTGAAAAGCTATACTAACCTACCCTCCCACATTCTACAGTTTATATTGCAATTTAATTGTAACAAACACATATACATAGACTTGAATCCATAAAAATTCATGAAATACTCCAAATTAATCGACTCGAACGTTTTTCTTGCAGTCAATTACAAACCAGGTTTGTATATGAACCTCCTAAATAAACAAACTTGACCACTTCCGGTTACGCAATTTGACTGATATTTAATATCTACATATTTTCATGACTACCAGAGCTCGGATGTTTATGCAGTCAAATTATAGGAAATATGTGGGGGAGAGGGAGTTTAAATCGGGAAAGAAAAAGTATAAGGGCTGACTGGTCGGAAAGAGGGATAGAACACTTTAGGGAAAACTTAGAGGGGTGGCGACGGAGAGTGGAGATGTCTAGGGGGGTGGAGGAGCTGGTGCGGGTGGTGGGGGAAGCGATATTGAAGAAAGAGTACGTACGAGGGGGCAGTGCAAAGCTAGGCAGGAACCAATGGTGGGATGGTGAGTGCATGGGGGCGAAGAGAGAGGCGAGAAGGAAGTTGAGACAGTGGCGGAGAAGGTTGGTGGGGGCGGAAGAATATAGGGAAGCATTGAGGGGATATAAAGAGATATGCAAAAGAAAAAAGAAAGAATTGAGGGAGAGGGAGGCGGAAGAGATTAGAAGGGTGAGACAAGAGGGTGAAGTTTGGAAATATATAAACAAAATAAGGAAGGTACGAGAGGAAATTACCAGTGAAATACAAATGACGGAGTGGAGAGATTACTTCAAGGGTCTGCTGGAGGGGGAAGAGGAGAGGCGGGTAGAGGAGGTAGATACAGGGGGACGGAGAGGAGAGGAGATGGCCGGGGAACAAATGGAGGCGGCGTTGGGGGGACTAAAGAGGGGGAAGGCTCCAGGGGAGGACGGTGTCCAGAATGAGGCATGGCTGGAGGCAACGGGAGAAGTGAGGGGAAAGTTGTTGGAAGCGCTGAACAAAGTTTGGGAAGGGGAAGGGTTTCCGATTGGATGGAGGACGGCGATAATAAGCCCCTTGTACAAGAAGGGAGTGAAGGGAGTAGTGGAAAGTTATAGGGGAATTAGCTTAATGGACTCGGCGTACAAGATATATGCGAAGGCGCTGCTGCAGAGGTTGGAGGAAGAGATGGAAGAGAAAGGGATCTTACCGGACGGACAGGCAGGATTTAGAAAGGGAAGGGGCGCGATAGATAACGTGTACATATTGAAGCACTTGGTGGATAAAGAGCTGGAAGGGAAGGGAGGGAAGCTTTACGCCCTATTCATAGATCTAAAGGCAGCTTTTGATAAGGTGAATAGAGGGAAGTTATGGGAGGAGATGAGGAGGAGAGGGATTACTGGTGGGACAATAAACAGGGTGAGGGAGATATACGCAGAGACGATAGCTAGGGTAAAGGTGGGGGACGAGTTAACGGATAGGTTCTGGACAACGAGGGGTTTGAGGCAGGGATGTCCACTTAGTCCCGCTCTGTTTGCCTTGTATACCGCAGACATGGAAGACAGATTGACCGGTGGGCAGATGGGAGGTGTGGTTGTAGGGAGGAGGAAGGTGCATTCACTGGCTTACGCGGACGATTTGGTGGTAGTGGCGAGAGAGGCGAAGGAGATGAAGGCGATGATGCGGAGTTTGGAGAGTTATTTTAGGGGGAAGGCTCTGGAGGTGAATGTAGGAAAGACAAAGGTTATGAAGTTCTGTAAAGGGGGTAGAAGGAAGAGCGAAGACTGGAGGTGGGAAGGGAAGGAGATAGAGGAGGTGAGGGAGTACACATATTTGGGGTACAGATTTAGAGAGGACAACAAGGAAGGCGCGCATGTGAGGGCAATGGCAAAGAAGGCGAATAAGGTGATGGGGCAGGTCTGGGGGTGGGGAGAGAGATTATTTGGAAGGGATATGGGAAAAAGGAAGATGATATTCGAGTGCTTGATTAGAAGTGTTATGATGTACGGGGCGGAGCTTTGGGGGTGGAAAGAGCAAGGGCTGTTGGAAGGCGTACAGGCTAGGTATTGGAGATGGGTTTTGGGGTTGGCAAAAGAGACGCCGGAGTACATAGTCAGAGAAGAGGTGAAGGTTGATAAGTTAAGAGTGGAGGCGGGTAAAAGGGCGGTACGTTTTGAGGAGAGGGTTGAAGGGAGGTCTCAATGTAAAATTTTGGGGGAGTGCTGGAAAGAGATTAAGGCAGGGAAAGGGGGTTACGGGCAACGAGGGAGGGAGGAATATTTCAGAAGGGTGGGGTACTCAGTGAAAGCGGTAGATGATAGAAGGAGGGAAGGGATTGAGATGTGGAAAGAGCTGGAGAGCAGGGATAGAGATGTACAGAGGCAAGAAAGAAGGGGGCAGATAAGGGAGAGCAGGTACAACCCTAAGTACGAGGAAATAATAACGGAGGGATTGCCGAAGTACCTGTCGGTGGAGGGGGATGAGGAGGGGAAGAGGATGGTGGCAAGATTCAGATGCGGCAATGAGGAGAGAGCGAATAGGTATTGGATGAGAGATGATGAGAGGGGTTGTAGGCTATGTGGGGGGGAGTGGGAGTCGTTGGAGCACCTACTGAGGGAGTGTGACGAGCTAAGAGAGGAGGTGATCGGCTGGAAGCAGGTGCTGGGGGAGGGGGCAGAGGGAAGAGAATGGATGAGGGAGGTGGTGGCGACAAGGCAGCGTAGGGAGATGCGGAGAGGAGATGGGGAGGGGTAGGATAGGAAATAAAATGTATTGTATTGTAATGTGATATATGTAATTGTAGTATTGTTAAAATTTAATTGTTTGTGGAATGTATTGCTGATATGGTAGCAATAAACTTAATTAATTATAGGAAATATTCGCATAAATATGCAAGCTTTTTATTCAAAATATGCAAAAAATATGCAAAAATATGTGGAAATATGCAAACATATACCTTTCTTATAGTTGTTATCAATCTATTTCTGTCACATTTTTGTATATATTTTGCACTTTTCACATGTTTTTCTATTTGGGACTTCCTCTCACACGTTATCTTAAAAAAGAATAATTAAAAAAGTTAGCCATAGATACTCTAACAGAAAAAAAATTTAATTCTGAGACTATAAAACAGATTCGTATTTTTCATTGTCGATTGTCTAGAAACGTATGTAAAAACATATTCCAAGAAGATGGGACATCAAATTTAATATAGTTTTATTTAGTTTTAATTTAACAGTTTTCCATTTTTTTAACTACTAGTGTAAAATTTTGAGAATGGAAACCGAAACTGGTACCGTTAAAATAAATTTGAAAAAGCAAGTAAGAAGTTTCAATTTCCATTCTCAAAATTTGTGAACTTGCAACATGGATTTTCAAACTAACCTAGTGTAAAAGTCTATGAGAAATACAATTTCGGAACAAAACATTGGCAACTCCTGTGAAAACTTTAATTTTTAACTTAAATCTATGGCTAAAACGCTACGACATGATTTTTAAAAAAATACTTACAACTTTGGCACAAGTTTTACAAAATAATTCCTCATTATTTAAATTTAGCTCGGGATAACTTTTTATCCACTGGGACACAAGACACGATATCACTTTAGGCATTGTTGTTATAGATTGGTAGATTAATGTTCACTCACACTGAACACAGCCACAGTAACTATGGTTGGGGATTTCTTTA